GGTCTAACATAATGAGTTTGAAAGATCGGGAATCCCCAGGACCCTGAGGACAGATGCCTGTGGTGAAGGAGAGGCTGGTTGAGAAGGCACAGGAATAACCAGAGAAGTGGGTGGAGAGCTGGATGGTAGGTGGAGGACTGTTTCAGGTAACCCATCAGAGTGTCCAGGAACACAGTGTTCAGGGTCACAGAGATGCTCATGGGCCTAAAGAGGGCCAGAGGCTTTGGCTTCTCAGTTCAGAGGAAGGGAGCTGAGGACAACTGAGGACCAGGGGTGAGATGAGCAGGAAGGGAAAAGGACTTCCTCCAGCATCTTCAACTTTCCCATTTGGGCAAGTTGGAGGAGCCCCTCACCAAAGTGGGCATTTGAGAAGGATGCAGAAGATCTGAGACTTCTTCTGAGAGGAAGGAATGTGCTAGAGATTCAAGCATTGAATCCTAGGTCTGTGAGGAACGTCAAGGGTGGTGTGAGCTGTGGGGCAGGAAGAGTACAGCTCCGCAGAATTCTCATAGATCCCCATGGGGCCTCAAGTTGAAGGATACAGGCCACAATCCAGTTCTGTGGAAGGACTCTGTGCTTGGCAGTGATTTAGGGGTGAGGGAACCTGGGCTGTTCAGATCAGCACCAAAAGGAGACCCCCAGGCTCCACACTGGTGATGAAACGAGAGAACTCATGAACTAGAGAAAGTGGGAGGTCCACTGGAAAAGTGCTATGAACAACCAGTCTGGGGCATTTAGGAAGCAACCCCAACATTCCGTTATTTCTTATGCTTTTGTGCATGGAAGTAAGACAGACAGATATCAGTTCAAACTTCAGCTTCTCCACTTACTAGCTTTGTGATGCTTAGCAAGTTACTTAAGCTTTCTAAACCTCTGTTTCAGTTGCAAACTGGGGATAATAGTGTTATAACAACAAAAATAATCCTCAATAATAAATTTGAAGATTTAATAAAGTTAGGTAAGTAAGTCATCTAACATCATCATAATATCCAACACATATCTTGAGTGCCAGCTGTGAACCCAGCACTATATGAAATGTCTCACACACATCACCTCCTTAATCCTCTAGATAATTCTGTGATAGGTACCATTAATTACCATCTCCATTTATGAAGAAATGGAGGCCTAATGGGGTTCAATGACTTGCCGAAGGACTCTCAGATGCTAGAAAGCAGAGTGGAGATTTGAGCTTAGGCAGTATAACTCCAGAGTCCTTACCCAGTTGCTACACAGCCTCCTGCTGTACACATGCTAATAAAGGCCTAGAGGTCAATAAGTCGTAGCTCTACATAGGCAAGGATATGGTTCCCAAAACACTTGTCCACCATACATAAGCCATCAAAACTAAGGACAACCTTGGACAAATTGGGAATGTCTCATCACTTTATATTACCTGTGTTTGGGCATGTAGAGAACAGACTTTAACACCTAACCCTTTGAGTTATGGCCTAAATGTGATTTCAGGACCCTGGACCCTGGTCCTGAGGACACAGAGTAGGGAATTAGGGGGAGGAGAATTGGCTTTTCCAACAGGAGGGGAGACTACAGGCTGCTGGAGTGGAAGCCAAAACTGAGGGGCTCCCACAGTAATCAGATGTGGGGGTCCTGAAAGAGAGCTGTATGTGACTCCCCAGTTTCTGGTTCAGGCATCTGGATGGACCCTGATGCCCCTGGCCAAGGTAGGGAGCCAGGAGGAGGAGCAGCTTGGGGGAGGCACTGAGCTCTCTTGGGTGGCAGTTGAGTTTGAGGGTGCTGGGAGGCAGGCCAGTAGACCTGAGTATGGAGCTCAGAGGAGAGGTGAGAGCTGCAACTCATCAACAGGGGTGAGGCAGGGTGACTACAGCACGTGAGGGGTGGGCAGAGTGAGAGGAGCTTGCGCTGGAGACTTTGAGAGAGAATGATCAGAGATGAAAGAGTGGGGCAGCCTTGCGGTGGGGGAGAGGGCAGGGGTCAGGCACACTACCTGCCAGAGAGGGGCCACACCTTACATCATCTTTATAATGTTAATGATAGGGAGGTGAGGAGTTTGTCTTGCTCATATCCTTTTAAATGTACTTTGTTTTATATTTTATTAGTTTTTAATAATAGATTAAAAAAAAAACATTTAGAACGAAAATTCTCCTTAGAAGAATCCTCAGTGTCGGGTAATAATTTGCTTGCCCAAAACATTTTTGTAGTATCTCTTTGAAAAACCAAGAAGTTATTAAGTGAAAACTATCAACTCTGACCTTAGTATGAGGTTAATGGTTTCAAAATTTGCCTTGCAAATGACATCAGACCTGGTGCTATGGAGGTTTCTATAAATATCACGGGATGGTAGGGGATCTTTTTTATACCAGCCAGGCACATAGGGCCCATAGAGGGAAGCTCTGTCCCTTCCTTTCGATGAGGTGGCTCTGGGCTCTGGGAATCATCCCAGGATAGTGTCCTTCCCAGAGGTGGGTTGCAGGCTCCCATCAGCAGCAAAAGCAATTAGGACCAGACCTCAGGGGAAAAAAAAAAAAAAAAAAAAGGCCAGGTCCTAAGACAGTGAGGCATTAGGCAGTGAGGCTGGGCTCATCCCATTCCAGAGGGTGCCTGCCTGGCCCCAGATGGAGTTACCCAACATGTGGCCTCCCAGGAAGAAGGAAAGGCACCACCACCTACCAGGATGGTGAGGGCTGATGCTATTGTGAGTAATGTCTGGAGAGCCGGCTCTAGAGCAACACCCACCAGCCACCTGGGGCTCCCCCTGCCAAGCTGGGTCCTGCTCCCTTGGGTGTGGTCCGCAGGGTATCTTGGGAAGCACCTGGGCCTGAGGGGAGATCAGGAATGTTTCAGGTCAGGACTTTGGAGGGAGCCCAGATGTGGAGCTATCAGGAACGGGGCTGACCTGCTGTCTCTATCCTCTTCTCTTGCCAAGAAGGCCAGGGCCCGCTGTCCTTCTATCCAGCCCTGAACACCAGCACTGCCACTTTGCCCATGGAGGTAGGGAAGGGCCTCACACAAAGATATCATCTCTCCCATGGAGGTAGGAAAGGGCCTCACACAAAGATTCATCTCAGGTTAGCACTCAAGAAACAAGTGTCCAGGGTATCCTCTCCCCAGCCTAGGACCCCTGTCCTTCATAGTGCCTTCATCCTCCACATACCCCTTCTAGTACTCTTTTCAAATATTATTATTCGAATATTATTTCAGAGCAATCTCCACAACAGCCTGCATAGGAAGATACTATTATCTTGTTTTACAGATAAAGAAACTGAAACTCACATAGGTTAAGTAACTTGGCCAAAAGTCATACAGCAAGTCACTAAGCAAAGTCAGAAATGCAAAGTCATCCGAGACCGCTAAGGGGCACCCATTTCCAGCCATACCCTCTGAGGGGCCATTAGTCAGAAAGCACCAGCTGGTTATTCCACAATTCTGGACACAATCTGTTAATTTGCATTTGTTTTGCATAAGGGTGTCACAAATACATAGATATCTTCTGTTTTCGCCTCTCTGCGCCTCTCTCTCTCTCTCTCTCTCTCTTTCTTTCTCTCTCATCTCACTCACATCACACACACAAACACAGCCAGTCTCTTCTTCCTTGAGATGCCTGGAGGGCTGGGGAGCACCATCTGGTCCCTTCCATCTGCCAAGGACACCTTTGCTCGTTCAGATTGTTCCTTCTCATTGGTCACTACACAGTGCCCCAAGTCAGGGAACAAATCTGAGGGAAAACTGCCTGGAGGAGGAGCTTCATGCCACTGGGCAGCCCCATGTCTGCCTGCAGTCTCAGGGAACAATAAATGGGGGTAGAGGGTGTCCCTAGCCCCAGATACACCCTCTGTTTCAGCCCCAGTTTAGCTGCCTTTTTGCCTCTCATGACTTCTCTTCCCGCTGCCACTGTCTGGAATGCAGGGAGGCTGGGAGAACTAGAAGGAAGGCTGGGATGGGGAGACTGAAGGGAGGGGGCCTGGAGCTTGAGCCCTCAGAAGGGAGGAAGAGAAAGTGCTGGCACACTGGACAGGGTGTGGGTCCAGTTCCTCATATCCTTACTCTCTCAGTCTGCACTGTCCAAAACAGTAGCCACCAGCTACTTCAGATTTTGAAGGGTTAGTATGAAAAATATATATATATAATATCTCCATAATTTTTATTTTGATGACATATGTAAATGATAATCTTTTGAACATATTGGGTTAAATATAAAATTAATTTCATCTGTTTCTCTTTACTTTTTAAATATGGCTACTAGAAAATGTAAAATAGTATATGTGGCTTGCATTTTGGCTTGCATTATATTTCTCTTGGCCACTGCTATTCTCAACCCATCCTCTGGGCCAGAAAGTTGCTGTTCTGCGAAATACTTCATGCAGGGAGCTGTTTTGAACTAAATGGTTCTTCATTATTTTATTCAGTCTTTTGACAATAGACACCCCACCCTCACCTTCAGAGGGGTCGTACAATGGACGGGTAAGAATATGAACTTGATAGACTGAGTTTAAGTCTATCCTTATTAATTTTAAGCTGTGTGACATGGGGCAAGTCAGTTAACCTCTCTGTGCTTCAGTCTAACATCAAAAAATGGGAATAATACAAGTGCCTTTCTCAAAAATCCTTTTTTGAGGATTAAATGAGTTAATAATGCATACTAAAAAAAGTGTCTAGCCTACAGCAATTGCTTGTAATTGCTATGTAGTTCTCATTATCTAAAATTTGGGGCTGTTCCTGCTACAGTTTCATGTGTCGAAGTATACTGTGCCTCTTTGAATGCATTCACTCCTCCCAATCATCTTACTGGTAACTGTTATCCTCATTTCACAGAGGAGACATCTGAAACTCAGAGAGGTTCAGTAACTTTCTCAAGACCACACAACTAGACAGTGGGATTTGCACCTGGATCTCTTCTACTCCAGAGACTGACCATTAAGAACCACTCTGTGCTACCTCTCTTGGTAAAATACCCACTGAGACTCTCCAAAATAATACTTCTACCCCCTCCTCTGGCTCCAGGTTCCCACCAGCCAGTCACCAGCATGCAGGAAATCTTAACGACACCGATAATCTCGGCTGGCAGCCGGTCCTTAACGGCCACCCAGGACTGGCCCTCCGCTACAGGCCAAGCTTTGAGCTCAGGCCATCAGCTCTCAAAGCCCTCAGTCATCCCACCTCCTGTGAAGCCCAGAGGTTCGAATCCCAAGAGTGATGTATATCTGATGCGCAGGATCATTGCCGAAGATGCTGAGTGGTCACTGGCCATTGTTCCTCTGCTCACAGAGCTCTGTATTCAGCACATTGTCAAGAACTTCCAGAGTGAGTCTGTCCCTGCCTGGGGCGGGAAGGAGAAGGCCAGAAATGAGGCAAGGTGGGTGGGGACTGGCTGGAGGAGAGGCCTCAGAGGCTCGGTTTTGGGGAAGCCCCTCCCCTCCCCACACAGCATCCTCATCACCACTCAACATTTCCCTTTGCCCCTGCAGCCAGGACAGTTTCTCTTGTTATCCCCACTTCCAGGCCCCACCAGACTCTCACCCACACTGTGCCCTCCATGTCTATGCCCTCTCCTCATCTGTCCCGCCCTCTCCTCATCTGTCCCACTCTCTCCAGCAAAACCCAGCCCAAACCTTATTTACTTCCTCCTCCAGAAAGCCCTCCCTGGTTGACTGACCTCCACTCTCTTGGAGTCTTCCTCGGCATGTATAGGTTTTTGGTTTGTTCTACACTCTGTGCTCTGTAAATGTTCATCCTTCTCAAAGACTAGTTGCTAGCCTCTTCTATTGAATGGAGCTCTCTGAGGACAAGCCCACCCATTTTGTCTACAGCACCTATCACCACACAACTATAAAATATTCATTTGACTTGTTTATTGTCTGCCTCCCTTCATAAGAGGGAGTGACTTCCTCTGTTTCATTCACTCTTGTACCCTCAGCACTTAGAACAGTGTCTGGCACATAGTAGGTGCTCCAAAATGTTTGTTTTGTTTTGAAATGAATGAATCAAATCAAATTGAGAGCCTCTGAGATCAGGGATTGTCTCCTCCATCAGACTAAGTGATGATTGAAGGCTGGACCTGAGATTTGTCCTCAGATGGGGAGCTCCCTGAGACCAGAAGCTAAGATGTCAACCTTCAGGCAGGGAACACCCCAAAGTCAGGAACTGTGTCTCCTCCCTCAGATTGAGCTTCTCTGATAGTAGAGTCTGTCTCCTCTCTCAGACTGGGGCTCCCTGAGGGTAGGGGAAGGTTTTCCCTCCCTCAGTGCCCCCAGGCAGGCAGAGCACAGGATACCATGTTGTGGTGTCTCCAACAATATGACCCTGCTCTCCTTCCGCTATTCCCAAAGACAACCCTATCCTGAAGCAACTGCTTCCAGAGCACCAACAGAAGGTCCTGAACCTCCTGTCCCCTGACTTGCCGCTGTCTGTGACTGCCAACCTGATCGAAGATGAGAGCTACTGGAACCGCTGCTGCGTGCAGCGCTGGCCCGTGTGCCACGTGGAGGACTATGGCGGCCGCTGGAAGCGCATGTTCTTCGAGCGGCACCTAGAGAACCTGCTAAAGCACTTCATCCCAGGCACCACGGACCCCGCCGTGATCCTCGACCTGCTGCCGCTCTGCAGGAACTATGTGCGCAGGATACGTGTGGATCAGTTCCTTCCTCCCGTGCGGCTACCGCTCCCACCGCGGAAAGGGGATCAGTCCGACTCTGGCAGTGAGGGAGAGATGGAGGAGCCTGCCACGGACCACTACCAACTGGGTGACCTGGTGGCTGGCCTGAGCCAGCTGGAGGAGCTGGACCTGGTGTATGGTGTCAAGGACTGTGGCATGAACTTCGAGTGGAACCTATTCCTCTTCACCTACCGCGACTGCCACTCCTTGGCGGCCACTGTCAAGGCATGCAACACCCTCAAGGTACCTACCATCCCCGCCCCAAGCCTTCCCCCATTTCTCATTCTCAGTGTCTCTCAGATTTCCTACCCACTCCTTTTCCTCCACTATCGTCGTCATCCTCCTCCCATTTCCTTATTCATTGACCGAGTGTCCTTTTATGCATCCCTGCACCCAGATGAGTTCTGGGGATGCAGAGGGGAACAAGGCACTGCCCTTCCAGTTCACCAACCATTTAATCATCCAACAAACATCTGTGCTGCAGTCTCTGTCCTAGGTGCTGAAGATTCAGCACTGAGCAAAATTACACCATTTGTGCCCTGTGGAGCTAGCTGTCTAGTGGGATGAAAGGCGCTAATCAGCAACCATATGAATGTAAAATTGCAACTAGGGTAGGGTTGCCAGATTTAGCACAAAAAAAAAAAAAAAAAAAAAAAATGGCAACGGGGGGGTGTGCCAAATTAAAAAAAAAAAAAAAAAAAAAAACAACCAGGACGTCCAGTTAAATTTGAATTCCAGATACACATTGAATAATTTTTTGTATAAGTATGTCCCAAATATTCTGGTTAGAAGAGAGAGAGCCTGCCAGGAAATCAGAAGAGGAAAA